AAGACAAGAGTTCTCACCTAATACAGGCAACTTCTCACCACGGATACAGGTAACATCATGATAGATAGAGAAAAGGCTGAAACTGTCAACGACGTCTTCTTGGGAGATACCAGAAGTCAGGAAATCTGGAGACGCACTGCCCTGGGAAAGTCTGCAGCCCTTGCCAAATTATTGAAGAGCAATGATGTCAATCTGAGGACTAAGGTGCACCTGATTCATGCCATGGGTTTTTTAATCACTTGCTATGCATCTGAGAGTGGGACAATGAATAAGGATAACAGAAGAATCGTGGTGCTAGAGAAGAGTACTGAATATCCCACAGAGGGCCAGAAGAACCTACAGATATAGTTTGGAGAAGGTGCAGCCAGAGGGCTCCTTGGAGGCAAAGATGATAGAGCTTTGTCTCGCATACATTGGACATGCTGCTAGACGAGGCCATTTCTTGGAGAGGGACATCATGCTTGGAAAGGTGGAGGGATGGCAAAAGAGAGGAAGCCGTTCAACCAGGTGGATTGACATGGTGACTGCTGCAATGGGCTCAAGTGTGTCACAGATGATGGCAAATGATGGGACAGGGTTCAGATCTGTTCACAGGGTCCCTATAAGTCATACTTGATTCAATGGCACCTAAAAGCAGCATAACACGGGTTCACAGATAATACATGCGGTTGAATGTCACGCAATAAACACATATTTACACACACACACACACACACACACACACACAAACCAAAACAAACCAACTCAAATGCACATTATAAAAATCAAAGGGCAAATCTCCTGCCGTTGAGTCAGCCCTGACATACGGTGACCCCCCTGTCCCAGAGCAGAGCTTCTCCAGAGGCTTTTCCTGTCTTTACGGAAGCAGATGGAAGCTTTCCTCTGTGGCCCTGCTGGCTGGGCGAGAACCGCCAGCCTTCACGTTAGCGGCCGACCGCACATCATCTCTTACAGTTTCTACCTCTCTAGAGAACTGTAAGATGTGCGCCGCTTGGGAAATTGCTGATCAAAACCTGCAAGAGCATCATATGCTTTAAAGAGCATCTTCTCCCCTTGGAGAAGGACCTCTTCTCACCCTTCATGGGCTTCCTCTTCTCAACATCCCTGAGAATTCATCTGGGTCTTCTGTCTGCTCCCTCACACTAGGTAACTACTTCATCAAATCACCAAGACCCTGGAGACGGACTGACACAGTGATGGAACGTGAGTGTCAGCTCAGCAGAGACTATGGGGCAAGCAAAGGACCAGGCAGGGTCTGGAGGTGACCCAACGGCACTAAGCAACAAACATCCCTAACTCCGCACAGATCAAGTTCTTCCTGGAGTGGAGTGTGCATGGTGGAGACAGAGTATGATGAGCTCCCTTTGTGTCAAAAACACAAGGTAAGCTTTTTGTTACTACTATGGCATTAAAAAAAATTTATGATGTTGAGAATACATGTAGCAAAACATATACCATTTCTATACATACAATTTATCATTTCCACACATACACTTCAGTGACATTAATTCTATTCTTCAAGCTATGCAGCCATCCTTACTCTCTCTCAACTGTTCCATCCACACTAAGGTTCTTAACTCATTGCTCTCCAAATTCCGAGTATTTCCAGTTGCTGTTCACACTTTGATCTCATAGACATAGTTCCTAACGGAGCATACTGGCCAAGGCAGACATTCTTACTAAAGAAGGTGGTATAACAATCTTATCCAGCAACACAACTCAAAGGAATCAATTCTTCTGGTTTGGAGGGTTAGAGACATGGATTCCTGGGACATTGTACTTAATTGATCTAATATCCTACTTCTTAGCCTCTTTCATAGTGTCTCGAATTCTAAAATCTTGAAAATACAACAATTCAGAGCACAACAATTGATCTCCATTCATAAGGAGTAACAAAGGAAAGATGGATCAGGAATACAAGGTGGAAATGGAATGTGTAATTGTGTCCAGGATCAAAAGCATCTTTTGTGCCAAGACCAAAAGAAATGGATGGTATCGTTCCTGAGAATTTGATTAAAAGATCCTATAGAAGAATCTTTATCAAAAAGGGGAAAATGGTGGCAAGAAGGTGCAACTGCAATCTCAGAGATAAACGGTTCAAATCCACCAGATGCTCTGCTGGAGAAGGAGGAACAATCTCCTCCTGTACCAGTCAGATATGATTTGACGGTACACACAAAAATTAATAAAATAAGTTTCAAAAAATAATAAAATAAATTTAAAAGGGGGAAAATGTAGAACAGAATTTAAACTTCTTATGGACTCCATACTTTCTGGAGCCATGCAAGCTGGTATTTTTTTTAAAAAAAATTTTATTATTTTGTGTGTGTGTACCATCAAATCAGATCTGACTGGTACAGGACGAGAGTGCCCCTCCTTCTCCAGCAGAGCATCTGGTGGATTTGAACTACCTACCTCTGGGATTGCAGTGCAGCTTTTTTGCCACTAGGCCATCAGAGCTTGCCAAGAAGCTGGTATTTTTTAAAATGCACTTTTAACAGGCAAACAATTCATTATGCATTTACATAGAACTCCATGGAAAAATTCCTTATGAATTAATATTTTAAGCTCTATATTTGAGGAAGGTGAATCAGATTATGAATTTTATAGCATTCAAAATTTTCCATGATTTTTATACTGCCATCTTTTTTGTCAGATTAATATTTTATGTGTTTTTTTAAATGAATAAGCACAATGTTAGTTTTAATCATTCTGCTATTGATATGCATTAGATTATATCCATTCTTTTAATTCTACAATGGCTTCCTGTGTTCATACATCACTTCATATATTAAGACAGATCCTTAGGATAAAGTCTTTGCATTGTGATTCAAAGATAAAATGTATCTGTTGTAAGGACATATGAGGGCTTTGTATGTTTCCAAGCACTTTTAAAAAATGGCGAACTATAATGAAGAAAAGTGCAGGAGAAATATTTATGTAAATAATAAGTGAATACAAAGCAAACATCACTGTGAAATCACAATGCAGGTCAAGAAATAGTTATTTCCAAAATCTGCAGAGGCCCTCTACCATTTGGGTTTTTGTTTTTAAAGAAATAAATTGTCGGGAGCTCTGGTGGCCTAGTGACAAGGAGCTGCAACTACAATCCCAGAGGCACACAGTTCGAATCCACCAGATGCTCTGCCAGGGAAGGAGGGACAATCTCCTCCTGTACCAGTCAGATCTGATTTGATGGTACACTCACACAAAAATAATAAAATAAAGTAAAATAAAAGAAATAAATTGTTTCTTTTCCATTAACCTTATTTCCACTTTTTTTTAAAAAGTTTAAGACCACTTGGTGGTCGTTCCGACCCACTCAGTGGCGTGAGCGGTGGGGCTGCAGACCAGTCTTCAGTTGCAGGCTGAGCGCTCCAGTCTTCAGTCAGGAACTGCAGAATCGGCACAGAGGGCAGCTGGACGCCTTCGGACCAGTCTGTAACTTCAGGCTGAGCAGCAGTGAACTCAGGAGCAGGGGCCGTCCATTCTCCCTGAAACCCCTCCTTGGTCACAGCCTTTTCAGCAGCAGCCTGCTCTTCCTTTTCAATCTCTTCCGGATCGGGCATGACCTCCCAAGATGCTCAGGGGAGACCGTGCCATGCATGCACAGGATTTCCTGGGCCAGCATCCACCGCACCAGACCCTTCTGTCAGAGGCTGGTGCTTGGCCCTGGATAAGGCTCCCAAAAGGCTGCCGGGATCTGGTTAGTGGTGGTTCCAGGAGTGAAGCATCCAGCAATAGGACTGGCCCCCGTAGCAGCAGCAAACTTCAGCACAGCAGGTCGCTGGCTGGTACTTCTAGAGGATCTGACACTGACAACAGCTCAATTTTCAATGGTAACAATGACCCCGAGCAGCCAAGAGAAGCTTCTCCCAGGTCCTCTTCAAGTTTACGATGTAGATGCCATCACTTTCCCTTTTGAAGCTGTACTTCCATTTGGACACCAAGGCTGGTGCTGCCCAAGTACGTTCCTGCAGCAAGGAACCTGGGAACATCCTCCTCTTTCATCTGGAGGATATCAAGGGCTCTGGACATTGCGGAAGTTTCCCCTTTGAAGTTACAGCAGGAACCAAGTCAAGGCCATCTGGACCCTTCTGTGGGTAGTGTGGAAAGCTGCCTCTGGTTTTTTATTGCCATCTTTCCTCCAGTAGTAATTGGCATCTTTATTTTTGTGATAAAGTATCCTAAGTATTTCATCCTGATAAAATGCTCATTTTTTTAAAAAATGTGGGGTTTTTTCCTTTTTTTTTGTTTTCTAATTTTTATTTTACTAACTTTTGTGTGTATACCATCAAATCTGATCTGCCAGCAGAGTTATCTTGTGAATTCGAACCACATACCTCTGGGATTGCAGTGCAGCTTCTTGCCACTAGGCCACCAGAGGGCCCCTAAAAAGCTCATTTAAGAGAATTGTAAATAAAGAAAGAAATGAAAATGAAAAAGAACTGGAGATGCGATCCAAACATACATAGAGAATTTAACTGAAAATCCTTTTATGCTTGCCTTGTCTTAAACCAAGGAGCCCTTGTTTAGTGTTTTAGCTGCTGGGTGGCGGGAAGAGGAGCAATTTCAACTCATCAGTTGCTCCTTAAGAGAAAGCTGAGGGAGTCTCCTCCTCTGATGACTTACAGCCTTAAAAACCTAACGGAAGGTGCCAAGGATGAAGAGCGCAGGGTGCTCTTAAATCAGGGGCCTTGCGGCACAGTGCTAAGAGTTTAGCTGCTTATCAAAAAGCCAGTGGTTCAAACCTTGCAGCCGTTCCGTGAGACAGAGATGAAGTTGTCTCCCTTAAAGACTTACAGCCTTGGAAACTCTACAGGATGGTTCGACTCTGTCCTGCACAGTTGCTGAGAGTCAGAATCAATGAGTTTGGTTTTCATCTTAAACCAATTTCTTTCCTCTTTAAATAAGGGCTCTTTATCAGGAACAACAAAAAATAGCATGAGGCGGACAGGCCGAGAGACAGAGAAAGTGAGAAATAGAATTATTCCACTTACCACAGGGCAAGTCGTTGCTCAATTTCCTTGAGAAAACTCGTATGAAACTTGTGCAAAGGTTCAAAGTTGGGGAAGATGAGATTTCTCAGTGTCTCGGGCATGGAGTCCTCTTTGCTCACTGAGCTCTGAAACCACTGGGGATGAAAAGAGGATACATGAAGAGGCGTAAAGATGAAGGACAAATGTCAGCAGCTCCCCAGAGGTGATGCTGTAACCAGATGTCCTTCCCCTCCCCACATGGGCACAAAGAAGCATGTCCGAGCTCACAGCATTCCAGACTTTTCTTTCAGTAGGCAAGTGGGAGACACACCTTAACTCTGTCTTACTTGCTTTCTGAAATTTGTTACCATTCAACTGTTTTTATGCCAGGACAAAGGTAAAATTTTTTTTTTTGTCAAAATTTTGGGGAGATATACACACAAAAATCACGCATCCATTCAACAACTTTAAACATACAACATGTATAGTTCACTGACAAAGTTTACATATGTTGTATCACCATTATCACATTCTCTGCCCATATGTCTTTAATCGGTATTAATTTATATTTTCTGCTTTTGTGTTTTAGAGTTCTGATTGTCATTTGATTTCTTATAAATAATGTGTGAGAGTATGACGGGCAAGGTGGGCATTATAAAATGAGCTAAACTGTTCAGGGGGCGATTTCCAGGCTGGCAAGGTGAGTGGAACAATGGATTCTGCAAAGGTGTGTTTTCTGGTTTGGGGTTGAGACTAGGGTGTGGCTTTGCTCTCAACAGGGTGTGAGCTGATTGTATCTGGCCTTGTATTTAAAAAGGCTTTTGGGCCCTAGGGCTGGCTTTTGTGAATCTCCTGAATAAAACAGGTTTGGAAGCAGAAGTGGCATCCACTTCCAGAAAAAATCTTGCCTCCAGAAACACTATGAACTTGGAGAAAAGATGAAAGTTTTGTGTTCAAGACTTCTATTCATAGGGTTACTATGGGTTGTCTACGACTCTAGGGCACTTAACAACAACAACAACAACAACAACAACAACAAACTGTTCAGTTTAACAAGGATTTCACAGAGGGTGAGGGGAAGACTATTATATGGGATAGTTTTGGCTCAAGGCTTATAAGGGGTTTCTATGCAACAGTTTGGGAGATTTCAACATATATACATACTAAGGCTGATTTCTAATAAAATTTTGCAATCTGTTTCACAATTTCCCTCCTTTTGACCACGATTCATTTATCTGATCCAGGATAAATCTCTTAAACGGTGAACTACCCAAATCACACTCTCTCTTGTATTCAACTCAATGGATTATCACCTATTTATCCACTTCCTAAACAACAAGCCTCTGGAAATGCTATGAGATTTGATAAATGTCAATAGTTCTAGAAGGGCTTCAGGCTTTTTGCTCATAGGGTCACTAAAAGTCGAGCTCGATGGCAAACAACAACAACAAACACATTTGGGATTCAAATCTATGAGGCAGGGCTCTGTAGGAGAAAAAACATGGGCAGTTTCTTCCCATAAAGATTCACTGTCCTGGAAACCTGAGGGCAGGCTGCTAGGATCAGGATGACTCTGTGAGAGTGAGTTTGATTTTTGCTTTGAAGTGCATGGTGCCTCGTTTCTTTTAGGAACTTCCATCTTGGCTCCACTGTTAAAATGCTGCTACGGCCAGACCAGGGTGACAAAGTAGCCTCTGTCACACAAGGTCACTCCCCTCTCCTTGAGATGAGCTGGGATTCCAGTCTACAAATGTTGATGAAGCACGTGTGGAGGCCCCTACATAAAATACATCTCCTAAATAACAGAACTTCCAAAAATTCCACTTTACCTCTCAATTGACTAGTTCTAGCCCTCCATCCAGAGGTTAGGAAAACATCTACAGTCCCTGAAAGGGCTTCGAAGACTGAGGAGGTCTGAGTAAAAGAGTCACAGGCAGTATTCCGGCAGATTTTGCTGACATGTTTATTCCCAAACAGAAAAGGAGGCTGCTCTTCAACTCTGAGGCAAATGCCAAGCAAAAAGACCTGCATTTGACAACCAGCTAAACATGAAACTGCTCTGGTCCACTGCCTGCAGAGTCAGTGGCACATTTCCATCTTCTCCACTTCAAAAGCTTACTTACTCTGCACTTAAAAATCACAACTAAATGGAAATCCTCAGTCTCTGTAAACTTTGTTTAAAATTAATAATAATAATTTTTTTTTAAAAAAGGATATTTAAAATGAATAGTAGTTGTAAAAAAAAAAGAGGTAACAAAAAAAATGACAAATCTCAAAACTTTTGTGGTGTATGTGAAAAATAAGATTAGATATAATTAGATAAAAATATCTAATTTCTACAGCCCAGGATGAAATCCCTCAACTGGAATGAGCCCAACATTTAATTAGCAACAGCCTCTCTCTCATAAGTCCGCTATTAGCGGAGATAAATTAGCTGAGGAAATGCCATACATACCGAAGTGATGACTTCTAGGTCCTTGAGATACGTCCTCTCAGTGGTGGATACTTCTTTAGCGATGAAGTATGCTTTGTCAGTTGGGAATCTCTGCAAATCCAAAGAGGGAAACAATGTGTCATAAGCAATCTTGCGTCTAAGTCTCTAAACACGCCCTGATTATAAGAATGGTCTGCTTGAAGTAACATTGTTGCTGCTGCTGTTGTGATGTGCCATCAAGTCAACTATGACTCACAGCAACCCTGTGACCGATGGCTCTGAAACTTAGCCCTATCCTGAGCCAACCTCACCATCTCTGACACACCTGCCCCCATTACCACAGACACTGAGTAAACCCATCTCATCCAGGGTCTTCCTCCTCTGTGCTGTTCCTCTACCCTTCCAAGCATGATGTCCTTAAACAAGGACTGGTCTCTCCTGGCAACATGGCCAAAGTACATTAGATGGAGTTTTAAAATCCTTGCCTCCATAGAGCAATCTGGTTTCATCCTCTGCAGGACAGAGCTATTTGTTCTGCTAGTATATATACTTATTAAAATTATATTCAGGTTCTCTCTATCTGTGTCTCTGTGTGTGTGAAAGAGAGAGACAGTGAAGAGAACAGATTTCAATGTTGTTGTTATGTGCCATCAAGTTGCTTGCGACTCATAGCGACCCTATGCACAACAGCCCTAAACTCCGCTCTGTCCTGTGCCAATTGCACCGTCTCTGACACTCCCATCCCAATTATCCCAGTCACTGAATCAATCCACCTCATGGAGGGCCTTCCTCTCCTGCGCTGTCCCTCCACCCTCCCAAGCATGATGTCCCTCTCCAAGGACTGGTCTCTCCTCACAACATGTCCAAAGTATGCCTCCCTTTCCAGGACAAATCTGTTTGTTTTCCTAGCAGTCCCTGGTATTCTCAATACTCTTCTCCAGCACCACAGCTCAAAGGCACCAATTCTCCTTCTATCCTCCTTGGTCATTGTCCAACTCTCTGATGCATAACAAGTGATTGCAAAGACCATAGCCTGTATCAGACGCACCTTAGTCTCCAGAGAGACACCAATGCTCTTCAGTACTTTGGAGAGGTCCCTAACAGCAGACTTTGCCATGGCAATGCGCCTTTTAATTTCCTGGCTGCTGGTGCCAAGACTGCTGACTATGGAGCCAAGCAAACTAAAGCTGTGTACAATCTCAATCTCTTCACCATCCATCCTGATGCTGCCAATTGGCCCAGTGGTGAGAATCTTTGTCTTCTTGACATTGAGCCTTAATCCATATTGTAGGCTGCAGTCCTTGACACTCTGCAGCAGGCGCTTCAGGTCCTCTTCAGTTTAGTGAGACAGAATTCAGCAACGTTTCATCTCCATCACTAAAGGCACTGAGCCAGTCTATCTTAGCTACTACCAAGGGCTGTATTAGGACTTCAATTATGTAAGACTTTGGCTTGTGGAAGGCTAAGGCCTGCAGCGGGAACCCCAGCTTCATAAAGAGCCTGAGCATAAATTCAGATGGCACGAGACCTTTCTGACCTTTCAACTGGCTGTGTGCCAAGTCCCAGCAAAGCTGTCCTTCAGAAGAATGTAGCTGAAGGCAGATTACAACCCCCAGATATGGGGCTGTTCTACCCTCAAGCCTCCATGGAAAATCAGGGAAATAGGCTGTTCTGAATGAGGTATCAAAAACAGTCACACATTAAAAACTGGATTCCCGCTGACTCAGGGATATATGGCCCTAAAAAATACCACTACAAAGCCAGGGAACCAAAGCCCCAGAACCGCTTTCAGAAGCTTCTGAAATCTGCAATGTGTATGTGCCCCTAGCATGGTCCTTGGCCAGCTCTGTAACCCCACCTATAATGATGATGGAGTGTAACCGCAACCAATCATGATCTGGCGATGTTCTTTCTTCAGCATCAGGCTTCCCTCATTCTGAAATGACTGTCCTGTCAACGACTTAACAAAACGGTCTCTACAATCACAGATTTGAACTTGGGGTACCTTTTTATTACCCTAACACAGGACCTACCTAAAACAAAACAAAACAAAACAAAACAAAGCAAAACTAAACTAAACTAAATCACCTCGTTACAATACAGTCAGAATGGACTCAGCTGTAAAACTAACCACCCAGTAGGTTTTCGGAGGCTATAAAACACAGGGGAGCATCAGAAAATCTAGTTAAACGTCAGAGTGATGCAGTCAGTTTTCAAGGGAACAAAAGCAAGAGGAACTAAACCCTTTGTCTTGACTACAATGGGCTGTGGGTGCTGGTATTTGGAAAGTGGAAGTTCCGTTGTTCATAGATATACAACTGAAGGCTGGATCTGATGTGGCACCTGTCGCCCATCAGCTGGTGACCCCGTGACCCCACTGCTCCAAGTTTATTTGTAAAACAGGCAGGCAGCAGCTCTTGAAGCAGGAAGTAAAGGGAAGCCCCTGCTGCCCACCAGCACCCTGGGGTACCTTTCTGCGGCCCTCCTCTTCGTCATCCGTCCTGGGGCACACCTGGTCATTCAGCAGCGGGCTGACCAAGGGAGAGGCCTGCTTGGCGTCGGGGCTCAGGTTGGGCGACAAGGTCACATAGGCCTGTGCAGTCCCGCCCTGCGAGTTGACGGAGAGTTCTGAAAGGTGAGGGCTACCAGTCAGGGAGCCTGTTTGCAGAGGAGAAGTTTTAAAGAAAAAAAAAAAAAGGAAAGAAAAAAAAGAAAGAAAAGTAATTCCTTCTAGGGCCTGGTTTTCCTTTCTCAAATCTTTACCACTTTCGTTATCACATGACACAATTCTTTCTAGTGGATCCCTCCACCCCATCCTGAAGTTGCAGCTGCCGTATTAGTTAAGATACCGTGGTCAGAACAATTCAATGAAGCCTTTGTGCAGGCGCTGATAAGGCACTCTGCCTAGAGCCTGATTATAATTGCTCAAACAAACCGTGTATTGAAGAAAAAAAAAAAGGTATTTCCATCGCCTAACTACTGCCTCTGCTTCTAAGAATTACTCAAGAAAGACACAGTGTACATCACAGGGAGACAGGAGGGGGAATGACGAGAAAATAAAGCTAGACTAGAGGAGTCTAAACAACCAGGGCGCTGAGGACACACTACATACGTCGTGTGAGGTGGGGTCACAGCTACCGGGAGGGGAAGCGACTAACTCCCCAGTCTACAGAGAACAGAAGCTTGTTATACCTGGTGGTGTCACTCCGTGTCTCTCTCACTGTTTGGGACAGAAACACTAGCATCACATTTACATGCAAAAAAAAACACAGGGTCATTCAAATATGCAAAGCTGGAGGTCATTATTACATTACCGCAGTCCCTTTCATGGTCACAGAGTGACACGGGTAGTTCAGTACCCCTCCGAGGAGGACAATCTAATAACGTGAAATGGACCTGTTACCCGTCGTGAGCCCACTGAGGCAGTGGGTGTGCCGACACGACCCTTCTGCCGAGCTGGGACGTGTAATTATGACCCATAACCGAACTCTGTTTTTCCCTAATATTGACATTCCCTCCCCGTGAATTCAGACTTGCTAGAATGAAGATTGGGTAAACATTAAGCAGTCCTGTCTGTCTTCACCTTAGCGAAAGGCAGTATCTTTCCTTGTTTCCAACTGATACACAATTTCAGCCCCAACGCTACCTGCCACCGTGTGAAGGGTGAGTGTCCCCATCTCCCGGGGTACTTGTTCTCTCCCTCTTCCCTTAATATCCATTTTGAAATGACAAGACAGCATAGCCTAGAATGGAGGTGAGGATTGTGAATTTAATCCCAGTATGAACCAATCTTGGAGAAACTCGGCCCCCACTCCCTTTGGCCTCAGGTCCACAGGTAACCTCTGCTAGCTGTGTCATCAGCACAGGTGTAAAAGGCCACCACACCAGGAGAAACAACACAAAGACGTCCTGTCCATTGACCTGGGGTCAGCAAGTGATTCTCGATACTGAGATTAGAACATAGGAGGGAAAGGCAGACTCAAGAAGTTCCCACTTTCAAAAACTGGAGACTATTTCAGTGAAATAAACAGCTTGTGTTAGTCAAAGACCCATCACCCCACGCACCACCAGACCCAGTGAAACTCGGAGAAAAAGGCAAGAAATTGCTTCACAAATGTCAATTTTATTGACACTGGTACACAACTGAATACAATAGTTTCAAGAGAATTGGAACCTGTCAAATAGAAATAGTGAAAACAATTAGAATTGCAATTGTTTCAAAGGACTACACTATTTTTTTTTTTAAATCACAAAAAGGGAAAAATGTTATCACTAGAAATAGGAATTAGAAAAGAGAAATTCTGGCAGTCGGTCTAGAGAGCAAACAGTCCGTGCATTTCTGTTGGTCACCAGACTCTGGCCAGCTCAGGATCTTGCTGTCACCTCCCACACTGTACGGAGGGTCAGGAGAGGCAGTGGCCAGTGACAGCATCCTGGACCTCGGATGGGCTGTGACATGGGACAGAAAAAGTACCATCGAAAGAGTTGGAGCCAAGAATTAAAACCAGTTCGAAGGTTAGCTTGAAGGGGGTGGTGGGGAATGGGGAACAAACCGTTAGGCACAGGACAGCACCCCACAATAGAGAGGGGGGGAAAAAGCAAAGTGCCACGTTACAAGGTGGAGAAGAGCAGAGAGCGTTCTCAAATGCAACTTCCATCACGCGTCAGAGGCTTCAAGCACTGACCTGGCTGGATTCCACCCGGGAAACCTTGGAGAAGTGGTAGCTGGCGAGGCTGAGAGGACAGACTGGCCCGAAGAGAGGTGTCAAGCAGGGCTTGGTGCATTTCAAAGACGACAGTTTCGATTCAGCAGACACCCCATTTGACTCAGAGAGAAAGGATTCAGAGAATGGAACCTTGAAAGTAAACTTCACCATGACCACTTGTGTGTGCAGGTAAACTATCGGAAAGTGCAGGTCAGCCCAAAGTTTGTTAGGGGAAATTCACAGAAACGTCCACAAATGTGTAACCTCTGGCCTGACATGTGCAATACACAGGTGAGAACTGGAGTGGCTTGGCCAACTTTGTGTACATTCAAGAGCCTTTAAAGAAGGGTAGTGGGCAGATTTGAGCAGTAAAAGCATTAAACATGCACTAATCTGGCTTGGAAGTCGACCAGCAATTCCAAATAAAGGAAGAGCTTAAAAGAGGGAAGTTCGAGTTTGCTACTCTGAACTGGGTCTCTGCACAACAGTACCCCTGCCTCTTCTGGCAAGAGAAACTGCTGGAGGATTTACAAATCACAACCAATAGGTAGCAACCTAACAGAAACACATAGCTCATTTACTATTCTGCAATCAATGAGATGTGCTGACAAGGGCAATTAGTAGAATTCAGCAGCTGTGATGAGTAATTAAAATTCCCTTTGACTTAGAGGCAGCACCGGACACACAAACAGAGGATTCCAGGGAGGACCTACCCTCAGGGAAGTGTGCATAGCTGTGCTGCTCAGGTCTACAGAGCGACTAGAATGACACGGAACCACCCTTCACTGAAGTAGTCCATCTCACAGAAAAGCAAGCAAGCATGATTGTGTTGTTAGACAAAACGAGCCTCTTAGTTTACACAGCCTTACAGATCCTGTGGAGGTCATGCAGTTGCCACCTGCTTTGAAGGTAAAGCCCCAAGAAACCAAGAGAGGAAATTGCGCCTGTGGTTCTTTGCTACGCAAGGGACTTATCAATGTCTTGGTATTTCTTCTTTTTATCACAAGTTTTTAAAACAAAAATCCAGCGCCACTGAGTCATGACAATGCTTTATGTTACAGAGTAGAAGCGCTCTATATAAGGTTTACTTGGCTGGAATCTTTACAAGGAACAATCACCAGGCATTTCTTCCGTGGCACTGCTGGGTGAGTCTGAACCCTCCACCTTTTGGTTAGTGGATGAGTGCAAACCACGTGTGCCACTCAGCAACCTTATGAACACAAAGTCATTTCTTTCATCAAGGAGCCCTAGACAAATAATTCTGGAGGACCCTCTGAACAAAAGCACCTGAACGTTAAGGCAGAAGGCAGAAAAACAAAGAGTTTAAAGAGACTGGAAATGGATTAGTTATAACCTGACTGTCTATAATGCTTGCTTGGTTTGGTTGGGTTTTTTTTTTGTTTTTTTTTTTTAAACCCTTAATATTTTTCCAGTTTCAGAAATGGATCTGATTTCTTGAAAACAAACAAAAACAAAACCCCACAAAGCAAAAACAAAAACCAAGATAAACCATTTTGGTTTGGGTTAATGACTTCCCAATCATTTAAAGATCTCCACCACCGTGCCCTTACTGTACCACAGGAGTTAGGGCCTATGTCGCCCTTAGGAAAATGCCTTTCTGAATACTGCTCTCAAGGGCAACATTCCGGGTAATTGCTTTTAAAAATCCTTCTAAAACGTACACATTCTCTCATGGCACAATTATGAAACTTCAAATGAGGACAGCTATATTTATGGATTTCAATTTATCAACCGGCTCAGAAACTGAGCTTAGCATCTCTATCTTTTTTCATTTAAAATCCATTCATGATTCCTGATTCCTGACTCTCCAGAGAAGCTGACTTGGCAACATCAAGCAGACAGCAGCATCTTTTGACCAGCTCCTCGTTAGAGACGCTGAGATGGGTTCTGATGGTGGCTGAGAGCAACCAGCCACGCCTCCTTCTTGGCTTCCCACTTTGGAAGTGCACACACAGTGCATGCTAACCCTCGTCTAGCTCCGGGGACTTTTAGTAGCTTAAAGACAAACTGGCAAAACTCCGGCATACAAGAATTTTCTGATCTCATTTTCGAGTCTTAAGAATGTTATTTTTAGTATTTTGTTGCATCATTACTGCTTTCAGCTGGTCAGTGAATTGGCCATTTCCATTGTAAACTCAGATAAAAGAGCTATTTTCCTGTAACAGGTGGGAATTAAAAACCTGACAATAAATTTTAAAAATAGTCACTTGGAGTAAGATTGTTAAAAGTTTATAAATAGTTGAGATTGTTGAGAATATCAATGAAAATGATAATGAAGACTGCTTTCCAATTTTCATTTTCAAAATAGAAAAGTTATCACTTAAAAAAACCCAAACCCTAATCTATGCTTTTATACCGTAGCCTCCCAAAGAAAAGATCTGTGTTGCAAACTTCTAGAAGCTTCTCATGTTTGTTATTAGTTGTCCTGTTATGTGGCTTTTCACTCCTGGATGTTTTCTCTCTATGGCCTAAATTATGCACAAAAGGCACCCACTGGAAACATTAGAGAAGGAAGTTTTCCTCATTCTTTTTAAAAGGACCTTTTAAAATTCATATTCTCTGTAAATGAGAATCCAATGATTGCTAGATTAGCTATGATTAAAAGCCAATTATAAAAAAGGACCAGAATTATGATGTCTTCTGAATTACTGAGATTCACTGTATTCTTATCTAAGTAGGGTCTTTTGATCCCTGAACAGGACAAATGCCTGCAGTATATTAATTGAAAAGGTTTTGTAAGAAAAATCAAGTTATAGGATTACCAACGTTAGTGGTGGTCCTCTTCTGGTTAACTTAAGTTGCTGAGGGTAATGGACATGTGCTTCTTAGACCAAGTTCCTTTAAGAAAAGTTTTACCAGCAGCTAAATATCAACTGAGCAGTTCACCATAAAGAAATTCAGAAAAGCAACCGCAATGCAGCTTGCAGGGGA